ATGGAGATGAGCAAACACTTCTTTGTAGACTTCAATTTTTAACTCTACCTAGTCAATGAAAATTTGATAATACAAAACGGGCGCTTCAGGTCGATTTCTCTTCAAACAACTTTTAAATCTCGTCCTTATTATAGAAGAGACAGAAAGATGAGCAGAGGACTACATTAATTCTTATCTGATAGAAACTATTCTTTGGAATTCATCGTCCATTGAGTGAATGATATAGCCGTGAAAATCATAGTTTGATGCAGGGTTAGATTTTATTATGAAAAGAAGAGAAAGGTCGTAACTAGTAAACTATAACATAAATATTTATCATATCTAAAGATATTCATGTGATGGTAAAGAAAATTGGTAATACACCATGACAGAACTCAAAAGGATTCTTATATTAAAGTTCCTAACGACTAGAACTTCCTACACAGCTTCCTAGTCATCATGATGGACGAAAACATTGAACAATATTTTATGTTTTCTCTTGAATTACAATGCCTATAATGGAAATGTACCTCAACTTTCTGAGGTGAATTGATCATGTTCCTAGTCTTCTTGATGGACGAAAACATTGAACAATATTTTATGTTTTCTCTTGAATTACAATGCCTATAATGGAAATGTACCTCAACTTTTTGCGGTGAATTGATCCTGTTCAGTTCAGTACTATCAGGTGACAAATTGACACTTCTTATGATATACCAGTAAGTATCATACATATTTTCTCATTGACAAAATAACATTCATCAGGGCTTATCAGGCAACAAGTTGACACCTCTTATGATATAGCAAGAACATATGATACATATTTTCTCATTGAAAAGGGCTTATCTACTTGCAGTGCACTTATGGATGGAAATGTCTACAATGCACTAGATATATTTTAAGGCTTAAATTTTGCGGGTACCTCTAAGATCACTTATTTGGTTATTTGGATCAATTACATGTACGACATCGCCCATTTCTACTGCATGAGGACTATTTTTTCTGCTGACCAAGTAAGTAAAAATATACCTCACCTTTTAATTTATTTTTTTTAATTGCATATAGTCATTTTCTACTTAACTTTCCAGCTAAGGTACAATAAACATTTTAACTCAGGTACAATTAGTTGGTAGAAAGAAAGGACTTAATTAGAAAATCTGATTAGTTATATTTAATAGTGTGTTTGGTATGAAGGAAAACATTTTCTGGAAAATGTTTTCCAATTTTCTCATGTTTGATTGGGACAAAAGTTTCGGAAAATGACTTCCCTTCAAAAATTAAGGAAAACATTTTCCATAACTCTCCTCCAATTTCAAGTTATATTTTTTTTTTTGGGGAAAAACATCAATTTAAATAAATATTTTAAATTTCAAAATTTTATTTTTTCACCTGATCCTTGACCCTCCCCCCACGAGCCAGCTCCCCCAACCCCAACCCCTCCCTAAAAAATTATTTTGCTTTTTAAAAATATTTTCAACTTCAAATTTTTATATTTAAACTCCTACCCCCCCCCCTCCCGGCCAGCTCCCCTACCAGCCCCCAGCCACCCCAATCCCCAAAAAAAATAATTTTGTTTTTTAACAATACTATCAACTTCAAATTTTTATTTTTTCACTTGTATCCCCTCCCCGCACCCTCCCCCCACCCCCACCCCCACCACCCCCCAAAAATAATAATTTTGATTTTGAAAAATATTTTCATGTCATAAATTATTTTTTACTCTAGTAAAATTAAAAGATGTCTTTCAAAAATATTTTTCATTCATAAATCAAACACTAAAAATCATTTTCAGAAAATATTTTCTACTCACCAACCAAACATAAGAAAATAAGTCAAAAATCCACTTGTTTTTCAGGAAAACATTTTCTAGGAAAACATTTTCCATGGAAGACATTTTCCTCCATACCAAACACACCCTAAGTCCAACTAATTTTGCAGTCCGCTCTTTATATTTTTTCATAGTTTTCAATAAATTAAAAAGGAAAAGAGAAGTGGTGAAGTAGTAGTAGCAGTATCCAACCTTGCAGTCCTCACAGGTTCTTCTCATTACATGACTGAAACCATTTTTTTCTTTACTTTGTATTTCTTTCCCAGCTTCAGCTTCCCACTCTCCAAAACACTGTGCTGAAGAGTTAAGTATTGGTAACATGATTACTGAAGGTTCATATAGTGTAACCCCAATAAGCTTGGGATGGTGGGTAGTAGATGAATTGCAGTATACCAATCCAAAAAAAAAAACTATCAGACTAATGTTATTTTCAGAGTGGGGCTAACTTAGACAATGACCTTCAAGGCCAAGCAACCTGTCAAATCAGTCAAATACTATAACAACATAAGTTACGTTTTACAATTAGAAGCCATTATTTGTAGATGCATCATTATGAAAATTAAGGCACAATATTTTTATAAAATCCATCAGTAGGACTCAATTTGCCGGTACTGTTAGCCTCCAACCACGATTTTATAAAGTGAATTCATTTGATCACGGATAACCCCTGATGTGTTTTTGTAGCACAATAAGATTGAATATCAGACATTAAACTCGTTCTCATCACAGTTAAAACTAAATATGTTCTCCTCACAGTTAGTACCAAGGATCCGTGTTTGTCATTTTATGTTTATGTTGAAAGTGAAAACCGTTACCCTTTCTTCACTTTTTTGTTCATCTTTACTCTTTTTGGTCTCTTCTAATATATAGTGAGTGTTACTCCATTATTCGGACAAGACTTCACCAAACTGGTTGATGAAATATGTGGACTTACTTTTGGTTTGAAGTTATTAATTTTAAGCGCATACATGGAGCTTACTTTGTGTACACAATTATTAGAATATTCTCATCGCCTTTACAAGTCTATTGTTTCTCATGTCCATATAGTATATGTTTTGGTTGTAGTATATAGTTTCTACAGTTGCATTGATTCCATCAAAGAGCACTAGACTCTCAACTAGTAGCTCCGTTACTACTGTAAATTCTTATGAGGTGAGGCAACATGAAAAAATGAGTCGAGAGACTGATGCTGTCACCTTTGAAAAAAATAATAATGCAACATTTGGAACATAATGCATTAATTTTTTTAACTAATGATTTCCATTTTAACAGTCTTTTGACGTTAACAACGACACAACTTTTCCTCTGTTTTATTTTCCGCACCATGCGTGGGTTTACTGCTTAAGACTAAGCTAGTAATGAGGCAGATGAAGATATATCTAGGAAAAGAGCTATAGAAGATTACAGGCTTTAGAATGCCATGTTTTATCACCATAAAGTTAAATTTTTTAGTTCTTGCTCTGTTACAAGGGGAAAATGAAATATCAAACATCATAAATGGTTTTCTTTCTTCTACTGTAAATTGATGAAACCATAACTTCTATTGCTAAATGAAGTTGTGGAATGTTAAAAGTATAATCTGTTCTCATTTGAATCATTGTGAATACTTCGGCAATTAGTTCTAGAAGAGGTTTTCACACACCAGAAATTTTGCCAGTTTATATTCTTTCTATTTATATTTCCCTATTTTTATTTGTTCCAGATCTTCTTCCAGCTTTTTATATTTTCTTTCCAATTCATTTCTGATGAAATTTTTCTATTTTCTTGAAGCTTTTGTTGATATTTTTGAGAACACTTGATGAATAATGAAACTTTAAATTTATGCCCAGCTTTTGTTCATCCTTCAGTCAAGATACAAGTTTAAAGGAAGATGCAAGAGCTCATTATTAGTTTCCTACGAATGTTATGAAAAAATTGAGACGATAGTTTATCTAAGGTGTTGGTTATGCTCTTTTATTAAGCAAACACTGAAACTAATATTATTGGATCATAAACTCTTTATCTCTCTTCCCCACTCTGTATATATTGTATAAATATATTTTTTTGTATCAAGATACAATAATATGATATTTATTGACAATTTATTCTTGTGATATTAATTGTTGTGTGAGCATTGGTGGTAAAATAGAGACTAAAATAATTGCTCGTCTCTAAAGATCAATCTAGGAATACATATATTTCTCGTCTCTCATGCATAATCTTGGACTAGAAGTGATGTTCGTCTTCAAAAGCTATTTCTAGGACCAGGCCATTGATATATTGTCTATTTGTGACCAGAAATGTAGTGTTTAAAAGGACTTAGTGACTATACCTTTCGCTTCGATTCGGCTTTATGTGTTATAGGTTCATTTTTTTTTTTCATCAATTTTGATTATTATTGGTTCAGTTTTTGATGTACCCAATAAGAAAATGTCCGCAAAATATTATGTCTTTTCTCGTTCTTAATGTTTTGATAAAATGAAACAAGAAAAATAATGAGAAATTATATCAATGAGATAAAATGTAGTGTGGAGGCTATAATTACATATTACCACCAAAAAATAGTATGAAATCTTTTATGTTAATAAAATTACGGACCTTTACAAACTTTCAAGTGCTACAACTGACAATTACAAACTAAAAATAAAATAAAATAGTCCAAGACTAAAACTAAAACTAAAATCAAATAGCTATAATTGTGAACCTCCACTTTAATGTTTAGGTTTTGATTAAGAGTAAAAACTAGTTAAGCGGCCTAGTGTGAAGTTGGTAAGTACTAATAATTTGATATAGTTATAGTCTCTAATTATATATTAAATTATTAATATTTAATAACTAGAAAAGATAAAATAAAAAATTATTACCGTATTATTGAGTTATCGGTTTACCTAATAACCCAATAGTAAAAACCGAAACCGAATCAATAACCCAATAATTTTTTTATAAGCACATTAAAAATTCAATAACCCAATAACATTTTTTTTGGTTCGATTTTTGCCCATTCCTACTTTTCTCATCACAAAATAATTTAGCGACATGTTTTTTGAACTCGTCTTTATTAGCGAATAGAGACGAGGCGACCAACTTTTTCAGGTGTCATTTGCGACCAGATTTATTTTAATATGAAATACTCAAATTAGTGATTAAATTTTGGAAGACGAAATAAAGAATTAAGCATGAATTAAGTTTGTGGTGCTTGTAATCAGAAGACAAATTAAAAGAAATGAGATTAATTTGGTATTAATTGATTATATACAAAGAAAGAAAGCATAAAGTTTTTGAATATTAGGTAAAAGAAGGTAGTTTACGTGGGTTGCTGATGCATCTAGTCAGGGTCAAGGTCAGGTTGTTGGGGTAATTGAATGTCCAAAATCTCTACTCTCCGGTTCATTTTTTCCCTTATTCTTATGGCTGTATCTGCCGGATCTAACCTTCCCAATATGCTTATTCTCTTCTCTTGCGTCTCAATCAGGTGCATCTCTATTTCTACACATATATACATAATACAGTTTAATTTAATTTGAATCCATCAACCTAATTCATTATTAACTTAATTACCTTTCATTCGCAGAATTATTCTTCTCATTTTCTTACAACAAGGCAATCTAGATTAACCCGCATCACCATGGATACCTTCTGCGATTATATATCAATTACAATTACAATTATATATGTACGTACCTTCCAAAAATTATGATACTGGAGTAGTAGTTACCTGTCCTGACATGAAATAAAGCTACAATGTTCTGTTATATTACGTTATGTTGTGAAAATTTTTAGTGATAGATATATGAACCATAAGCCTTTTGAAATAATAGTTATAATATGTATACTAGCAAGAGGAATCAATCTATAAATTAGTTGGCCCGTTAAGAAGCCTTTGGAATGAAGGTTACATCATACTACAATTATAATTTACTAGGGTAGGTTTTACCTAATATTAGATTCATCAAAATTCCATTCTTTTCTTGAGATCTTCTTAAACTCAAACCACACCAATTAAGAAATGTGACAAGCTCATTTTACCTAATTCTTACTTCTATTTATCGTCTGTGTTAAATTAAAAATATTTAGTTTTGAAATGTATATACATATATTTATAGGACAACTTTAAATCCCATCCATCTCAAATATATGTCATTTCAAATGCTAATGTATAACAACTATATTCCGGAATATGGTTCAAATATAACTGAATTTAATAAAACAAAACAATGAAACTAACCTTCATAAGTCATTTCTGTAACTTGAATGATTGGAATAATCCCAATAGGTATTCAGAAGGTAAATATAACCTTAATCGTAGCATAAAGAGCATCCCGATTCTGTGTGTGCTTGAGACTTGATAAATGTATTTTGAGCATAATGCTCGAAATTAGAATTTGACTCAAAAAGCACTTAAAACTTATTAAAGCTTTTGGAATGTCAATCCTTAATCAAATTAATTTTCAATCCTTACCCTTTTTTTGGTCTGCTTTCGGTTTTTAGCAAACGGAAAAGGGCCTAAATATCCTCGAAATATTGAAAATGGTACACAATTACCCCCATCCACCTATTGGCCCCCAAATACCCTTCACATCCACCTTTGGATCAAAATTTACCCCTTCATTAACGGACCAAAATTAAAAATAATTAAATAATAATTTTTAATTACGTGGTACTCAGCCATTGGTTGTAAATTAATTATTTAAAATAATTTTAAACCCACCTATTTTAACTAAAACCGCCCCACTTGACCCAATTTTAAAAAAAAACCATCTAATTAAAATACCCTAAAACCTTATTCCTCCAATTTTCACAACTTTCATCGACTCCATTATCTTCTTCTTCTTCATGAAGAAAATATCAGCTTCTTCTTCGATTTCTTCCCCTGAAGAACTTCAATCTCGTACATTTAGTTGATTGATGAACTTCAATTCAGGTGTGTATTTTGCCCGGTTGTTATCAGATTCCACTCCTCTTACTTTGTATGATGCTCAGCTTTTGGTGATTTTCAATGAAAATTTTACTAATCGCATCATACCTAGTTATTAGTACATTAAATAAGAACATTGAACATACATGCTTCATTTCATTTGTCAGTTGCATAGACATACATGTCTCTTTTATTTGCATGTAGAGATTGGTTTGTTCCATAGCTTGTGATAGAGCTGTTTGGCAAGCCATGATGAGAAACAAGGCAGTTCAAAATCTTCAAGGCTCAGACATATCTGCAGGTTTATATTATTAATAACTTCTCCCTCGTTGGCTGGTACTTTTTCGTATTTCAATTTTGATGTTATTCCCTAGAGCGATGAAGATATACATCTTACACAACTAGTTTAGTCTAAGGCGCCTATTTTTTTGTGATAAAAATCCACACTTACATGTGCAATATTGAAGTTCTTCAAGGGAAGAAATCAAAGAAGAAGCTGACATTTTCTTCATGAAGAAGAAGAAGAAGACAATGGAGTCGATGAAAGTTGTGAAAATTGGGTCAAGTGGGGCGGGTTTAGTTAAAATGGGTGGGTTTAAAATTATTTTAAATAATTAAATTACAACCAATGGCTGAGTGTCACGTAATTAAAAATTATTATTTAATTATTTTTAATTTTGGCCCGTTAATGAAGGGGTAAATTTGGACCAAAGGTGGATGTGAAGGATATTTGGGGAACAATACGTGGATGGGGGGTAATTGTGTACTATTTTCAATACTTCGAGGATATTTTAGGTCCTTTTCCGTTTAGCAAATGATCTACTTCATAGCTAGGCCAGAAACTATCAAATATTCCAAATGCTTTTAATCGGGATAGATGCTAAGGTAAAAGCGATTTAAAAAATTATATATGTCTTTAAAGACTTTGGGGAATAACCAAAAAAAGGAGATTACGGGGGTTTTTGTTATGACGGAAATTATTTTTCAAAAAAATTGAAGTAATTTTTCTATTTATTGTGTTAGATAATATATACATAAAATATAATATAGTATAAATTAAACCATCGAGGGTGAGATTGGGGTCGGATGGTGGAGCTGTTGGAGAAAATACTACAATATTGATATTATATTACTCACTCTGTTTTACAAAGAACAATCTAGTTTGACTTGACATGAAGTTTAAGAAAATAAAGAAGACTTTTGATTATGTGGTCCTAAATAAAAGTTATGTCAAATGTACAAAATTATCCTTGAAATATGACTCGTGGAAAGTTCTTACAAAAAAAATGAAAGAGGTCATTCTTTTTTAAACAGACTAAAAAGGAAATGAGGTCATTCATTTTGAAACAGAGAAACTAGTAAATAACTTATCACAAACACTGTGTCATAGTGAACCATTGCCTTGAAAGTGATTTCGGCTAGACTACGATGCAAACCATTTAAGCATGTCGCCCCTCAAGATTTCACGGTTACTCTCAAATACGAGCACTTGTGACTTGGAGGTTGCCCAAAAATATTCTATAAGTATAGGAAGAAATGAGGTTTTTGTTGGTTGTCTTAGTATTCACAAAAGACACTATTTATATAGGAAACTTTTGTAGAAGTTATTGTAGACTCAAGAGTTAATTTTGATAACACAATGCGAATGTTAATGACATTAAAGGTCATTACATCACATTGAACAGAAACTTTTGTTTTGTTTTGGGACGAACAACTTGTTCTCTTTGTAACATATTTTACTTAGTATTCTTTGCATTACAATAAATGAATAAGTGAGAATTAATATCACCACATTCCACTAATGCAAAGACGAAGGGTAAGACAAATTTTGGACAAAGGAAGGAACATGTAAATAAGTGTCAATATCTATCGGTTTGAGTTGACACGTAGTAATATGAGGCAATAACTCAATATCCACAAAGTGAAGTACTCTTAAACTGAGTGGATATAAATTTAGATCTCCATAAAACATATCATATCCTTAAATTTAAACAACCCCTAGATATAAAGCGCTTTATGGTCATGCACACACACCTTTGGTCTTATGAGTGCTCTCGAACGACGGCCCAAGTCTTTCATAAAAGGCGACCACACCCTTAAACTTACGTAGGTGCTACCATCAGGTGTATCTTAAATAAACCACCTTAAGTCTATATAATTCTTAAAACAAAAATAAGCTCAAGCTTGTAAATTTCTGCCACATGCCATATGAATAGAAAATGTTGTCTATATTGAGGCTCAATGGGTCTGCCTCAATACCTCAATCAATGGGTTTTAGCCCCATTCTCCTCGAGGTTTCCAATATTATTTTCTTGCCAAGTGCTTGATCATCGAACCCACAAAATTTGTTTCAGACCTTACATATTTAAAGAAAATAATACCCAGTTTCAACAAGTGATTAACTGCCATATTTGATGCGAATATGTCTCTTTATTCCACCGTGGAAACTATTTTTGGCAATTTCAAATTATTTTATGTGAGACACAATGAACAAATATTGATGAAGCTTGTTTTCCCCACAAAGGCACATCCGCCAAAAGGTTTCTTAGCCAGTTACCTTCGAGCCCTATCAACTCTGGAAAAATGAATTCAAATTCCATAGTAGGACGTGCTATATAGGTTTGTTTGGAACACTTCCACAAAATATCCCTACAACAAAATTAAGCACATATCCATGGTAGTGGATCTAGCTTGATTATTGTATGTTACTCCTCTTGCATCACAAAAATCATCTAAAAAAATAAGGAAATTTATTAGATTGCAAACAACAATTCATTATACCTCCCAAAATACATTATGTCACAATCGGAATCTAGACAGCAAACGAAATCAGCATCGTTTACCTCTCAGAGGTCGTAGACAAGCCTACTTACGTCATTCTTACTTCATCTAGGTTAATTTTAGCATAAAATTTGAAACTTTTTGTTTCTTAAAATGCTTACTAAACATTCTACTACATACGTAATTGTTAACCATCAACCATCTAACATTAATATCATCTAGTGAAAGGAGAAGTATATTATAACGATTAAGATGTACTTGCCAAAATGGCACCAATACAACGTTTGAACAAAATGGAACAGAAAACACTAGTGGAACATACTCTACTAGCTCAATCCTAAAACTAAGCTAGAATGTAAATGGGCAAGCGGCCTCGAAAGCATGAGGGCCTACCAATTCCGGATGAATGCACGACGTCCGGATAGCTGCAGCGTCGATACTATAGCTCTAGCGTCCACCTGTGCCTTCACATAAAGTTGTTTAGTTGTATAGGGTTAGTACACACTTGTACTAAGTATGGGTATATTCAAGCACACACCAAGGACATGCATGAGTAAAAATATCTCTTTCCTAGCAACATGATTATAGCAGGTCAAGTCAGTGGACTTGCCAAATTGAGATTAGGAAAGTGAGTGAACTTTCCATATTTGTATTAGGAAAGTTATTCCATGAGAGTAACATGCACCATCATACATAACATTTTGCACACAGTTCACAACACCGTACACATAGCACATATCATAATTCATCTAACACATAACGTTGTTCATATCATTTATTCATATGCCATAAGATCTTCGAATCATGGACATGGCATTAATACTTTCCAAAAATAAGGGCTCAACATATGGGACCTCTACTAGGGATTCTTCATTAGCAAACACGGAGTCTGCTTCATTCATTCATACGTACTTCATTTCATTTCGTTCATAGACTAGTGGAAAACCAACTATACCTAGGATGTAGTTTAAGACTTCCATCGGGTTCGTTGTGCAATGACCAAGAATGACCTAATGTCATTTCTTGAGTCTAACTCACTTCGTGATCATCCTTCCTTAACACCTTTAGTAAAATTCATTTCATTATGTGCATCACTTGAGGCTGACCTCATTC